GAGAGTGTATGGACGCGCCGAGCCAGGACGCGTGGAAGGGTGTGTGGGCGCCCCCTCTCTCGCCTGGGGGTGGCAAAAGTTGAAGGGAGTGCGCGCGAGGGAGGTCTGCAAAGTTGCTGCCACACGTGTCGCTGTCGACGACTACGGCAGGCGAGGAATCGTCGTCGGGGCCCGTCCGTTTGCTCCACGCTTTCGGTGCGTCGACCCGTCGTCCACCATAAAGGTCTTCCGCTTGCGCCGTTTCCTGCATTGAAGGTCTGCGCACATGGTGCACAGAGACGACATCCAGACAGGACGCTATCTGCCTTCTCTCCTCGTCGTCGCAGCGCAAAGGCACTACGAAGTCGCTCGTTTCTTCGCAGTCGTCGTCGGCTTGGTTTTCTTCGGCGTCGTCGTTTCTTCGCTGTGGATCTTTTCGATGTCCTTCTCGCCGTGGAACCCTCTCACTGCGGATCCGCATCGCACCTTCAGAGGTCCGCCGTCCATCAGTCGCCAATATCTTCTTCTCGCCTCGGAGCGGTGTACGCGCCTTCGTCTTCTTTACGCGCAGGACTTCATCGGTGTCGTCGTCGATCGTCGCTCTGGATCCCATTGCTCTCCTTCTCGCCGCGGATACGTATCGCCCCTTTGGAGGTCCGTCGTCACTTACTCGCGAAGTTCTTAATCAGACCGCGGAGAAGTGTCCGCAGGGTTCATATCCTTCTCGCGTTCGCGTCGACGTGGACGTACTGTGCGTGGCGAGGGCGAGGATGAATTGCTCCCCAGGGCGGCAAAGGCACTTGTTCGTCGTGGATGCGAAGAAAGGCGTAGCCACAAATGGTCATTGACGGAGGTGGGAGGTATGTCTACGCAAGGCGGCGCCCGTGGGAAGAAGCAGCAAAACATCCCCGCGGACACGCAGGGGCGGGAAAGGGGTCGGCGACAAGTCCCAAAGGCGAGGAGGCTCCGTTCAGAAGAACCATCAACTAGCCTCCCTCCTCGGCGAGGGCAACAGAGTTCACGAGGAGGAAGATGACGACGTGTTCACGATGGAGCCCCCCTGCTTCCCCAAGGCGCCGTCACGTTCTCCTCTGCTGCTTCCTCCTCCGTCGTGAACACGTCGTCATCTTCCTCCTCGTTGGCTGCGGAGGGGGGCTCCATGGAACGCGGGGCAGGGGATGGGGCCCAACAAGAAGCGCGCGTGGCGGCTGAGGTTGCAATCGCTGCTGCAGCCGCGGGGTCATCGGGCAATGTTGGTGTCGTGGCGAGGGCAAGAGAAGAGGTCCCAGTTGTGGAGCGGGAGGCGACGCGCGTCGACAACAAGGGTGAAAGGGAGGATGAAGACCCCCTTCTAAGTCGGGTCCGAAGGGGAGGAATGGCGAGAGATCTGGCCGACCGTGCCCGCCTGTGGGTCGATGACAAAGCGTTCTGGACGAGGGGGGAGGGGCGAAGGCTGTACAACATCGTCCACGAAACGTGGGAGTACTTTGTCGCCATCGCCGGTGGAATGCAAACGCCCCCCGTGCCCAGGAGTGTTGTCATGCCGAAATCATCGACGACCGTCACAAGGATTGCGGATCCCGCACAACTGCAGCAGGCGATCGCCCGCGCGATGGCAGCGGGGAATATCGCTCTGCGCGTCTTGCATGGATGGGTCTTCAAGTCCGGGAACCATCCCCGAGGATTTAATGTCGCTTTCCAGTATGCGTTGGAGTCGGTGGCGACGGACATTGCGCGCGTCATGTGGAACGGCGAGGAGTGGAGTAACGTCGTTAGCGCGCCCGTTTGCGCGCACACAATCGACCCGAACATGGACCTGCCTTTGTGGTTCGCGGGCACGAACATCGAAGACAGGCCGGAAGACGACGACATGGCGGCACACCAGGAGTCAACCGTCATATGCATCGCGCGAGCGTTTCTCGCCGCGGTGCAAATGGGTGGCATCGTCGACGGTGGTTTCATCTCGCACGAGCGTCTGTCTAGAATAACGGATTGCTTCAGATTGATGTTGGCTGCTTGCATGTGGTTGATGCGCATCGCGGGAGACAATGCGCGCAACCACCACGAAGCTTTTTACTTCGCAAAGCTCGTCGCGAAGCCCACGCTCGTCGCATCCATTCATCGCGCTTTCGATCATCGGCGATCCATCATCCGAGCTACGAACGCCGTCACGGAGAGACTGGGGAAGGCGAACGCAACACTCGGAGAGTACCCGAAGTACATCCCCGACAGGGCTTCCTGCGGCATCGTCTTTGGGCAAGATGCGAGCATAACGGGGCCAGAGGACGCGAAGAGGAGGGATTGGTTGGGTTCCGGCCCCTTGAAGGACGACGACGCGAAAGAGGATGCATAGGGGGGGCGGTCGGGAGGTAGAGGGTGTCGCCGGTGCTTACACGTGCAGCGCAGGAGAAGGTGCGCGAACGGGTCTCTTTTTCCGGCGAGTGCAAGGGAAACGGAGAGGGGGCAGGTCGAGACGGCGTCGAAGACGAAGTTCTGGTGTCGCCATGTAACGATGACGGATTGTTGATGGCCTCCTCCTTCATTCCGCACGTGTGCACCRTGTCRCTCGSACATGCWGACGCCCGACTTTTTCGGAYGTGCGCTTCGGTTGGGTGMGTGACGCAACTGCGTTCRTGGTTGYTTGTGGACGTTGATGTTGTTTCGCTGTCGATGGTGGAGAAGCGATGGCAGTAGGGGCTCCCTTCGGTAGATTGTAGGTGTTGTGCACCTTTGTTCGATGTTGTGTTCTGTTGTAGTCGGCGCAGCTTGTGGCGAGACAAGTTGATTGCGCTTGAGGCATCCCTTTTTTTTTGTTTGTAAAATTCGAATACAGAACGATATTTCATCAGTTTTAAGATCTGCGCTCGCTTTGTTTGGTCACTATTTCGTTTTCGCATTGTTTGAAATTAGATCGACGGATCGTCAGTTTTAAGATCAAGAAGTTGTGTTTCTTGGATGCACGTCCAGACGACTCTTCTCCATTTGCATGTGCCATCGTCGCTCATTGCTTTGTTTGCTTTATTTCTTCCCCCCCCCCCCCTCTTACTCGGATTTGACAAACAAAACATGTGAACTAAACATGTGTTCATGTCCCACTCCAACCCTCGCATGAAGACATAGCGCAGCGCATCAAACTCCATGAAATGTCCCATAAAACATACCATGAATATGCAATGGCACAGAGAATGAACGCAAAGAAAAAGCAACACACAACATAGACGCAATGACATACACACACACACACACATACACACCGCCAACACGCAACGGAAATGGACGATGCATACTTAGAAAGGGATTTGCAATGTCGTTAAACAATTCATAGTTAATAGTTCAAAATCGAAGGTAGGTGGGGGAGAAGTTGCACGCCCACCCGAATCACGAACACTACTCTATCCTTCATGGCGAACAATCGCCGCACTTCGCACCCGCAGTGCGCCGACTCCGCACTACACAACTCCAACGGCGACAAGTGTACTCTTTAAAAAAAAAAGAACAAGAATATAAAAAGGACGGTGACGCACGTCCGCGTACCGCGACGCCAAACCAAGACGAGCCTCGACGCAAACAACGAACCCGACTCAGGACAAAAGCCAGCAACCCAATCAAGGCTGGACGGAACGACTGATCTGCCCTCCGGCCACTGCAGTGAACGCGCTCCCACGCGCGGCCGTCCAGCAAGGGGAACACGACCCTCCACTCAAACCACCAAGCCCGACGGGCAACAAACGACAGCGACCCAATAAAGCAGGATGGAACAAGGATTCTGCCCTCCGCCCATTGGTGCAATGGATGCACTTCCATGCGCTCCTGCTTGCTTGTTGACACGTGTCGATTCTCTAATTGATCGACACGCGGAGCAATTCTTTGTATGCCACTTACCGTTCGATTGCGTGTGGACGTCATCCAACGTGGCAACTCTGCTCTTTTACTCGTTCCTCAGATTGGGCTCTTCGATGATCCAAGGACGGGATCTTTCTCGTGCCGTCGTCGCGACACGCATCCATTACCGGTTGCATCAGTGATTAACTGGAAGGGGAAAAGGGAGTCGGTGCATGGCGGCATGGCGAGGTGGAGGGCTTAGGGGTAGCGGGGGCAGGAACCTTTCCATTCCGGCTGCAGATTCTGGAAGCACTTGGTAGTGGACGATGCGATGGAAGCGGGGGAAACGGTTGCCAGTGCGAGGGAGGGACGCGAGGTAATCAGGATAAAGGGTGCCACTAGTGAGATTTCGGAAAAGTGCCGCGCGGAAACGATTGCGATCTTCGCAGGCGGGGATGGTCCCCGTTACTATGCAATAAACCTCGATCATATTGTGGCCTCGCCACGTGGCACTAAGGAGCAAAACATGGAGGCAGAAGCTTGGGACGGCGCACTGAATGGAGGGGTGGGGGTGCACTACTATAGCGAGGCGAGCAGCATAGAAGTGGCGGAAGGTATCGCGGGGAAACGGGTTGGAGGGGAACGTGATGGGGGTGGTGAGCTGGCGGAGGGTGAGGTAGTCAAGAGGACGGCGAGAGAGTAATCGGGGACGAAGGCCGATCGCCCGTATCGGTACGTCGGCGAACTGGGGGACGGGTTGGGGAGGAGGGGAATCGGCTCCGTCGCCGCGTGGATGGGGTTGGAGTGGTGGTCGTGAGGTCGCCATGTTCTGGTCGGGGGGGCTCCGGATCTTGGTTTGGGTCATCGTGGACGTGCAAGCTTGCCAGATCGCAAACTCCAGTTCCCTCTTTCCGGCTGCGGTTTCTTCTCTTTTGCGGGCCGCCTCCGGATCTTCAGCCTCTGTGCCCGTGCGTAGCACTTCTTCCGGCACAACTTCCCACTCCGATTCCGCAGGTCCTTCTTCGTTCTCCTCTTCTCCTTCATTGTCTTCTTCCTCTTCTTCTTCGCTCGGCTCCCCCTCGCTATGCTCGCTATAGCTTCCTTCTTCGGGGGTTTCGTTCTCTTCCCCGAGTACTTCTTCACTTTCCCCACTTTCTTCCCGCTCGGCTTCTCCTTCGTTACTCTCAGTGCTTTCTTCCTCCTCTTCCTCCTCTTGGATGGCAGCAAGCTGTTCCGCCGTTGGATGCCTGAAGAAGGCAGGATCGCAAATCGTCCGAGGATCCAAATACTGCTGCTGCGACGGCAGGATGCGCTCGGCGGCTCCCTCCACACAAGCCGACCACTGGAGATACGGCGTTAACGTGCGAGAAAGCACATGAGGAATCGGGTGCTCGTCGTCTTGCGAGATGATGTCGAGAGGAAGTTCATCCGCCAGCTGCGCTACCGGGATCGCGAGCTCTTGCGCGATGAGTTCCTGATGTTCGGGCCGTTTTGTACCGAATAGAGACGCGAGGAGTTCTCCCTCCACGTTGGTTCGCCAAGCCAAGATGAACAGCAACTCCAGGCGCTCTATGCAAGGCGGGCGCGCCTCGTCCTCGGTCCACGTCAGTCGTACCTCAACCAAGCATAGTGAAAGCTCGACGAAGTCTTCACGCCACAGTTTCCAGTGTGGGGGATGAATGTCGGGGACAACAAGGGTCGTTAGACAATAGGAAAGGGGAGGATGGACATCGGACTGCCAGAAGGTGGGGAAGGTGGAGGGGAGATAAAAAACGGAGATCGGAGAGAGACTCATTGAGGGCGAGGGAAGGGAACAACAACAGGGAGAACCGCCCGCGGATCACGCTGGTACATCCAAAGGCCGTCGTATTCGATCGCTCGTGTTGGCGCGACCGTGTCCCCGGGGCGAGCCAGAAGCTGGGTTCACTCGGCGATCAGATCGTTTGTCCACGCGCGCAGCGATGTCCTCACCGCCGAATGTCGCAAAGGTAGGAGCGTGGAGAGATCGCCACGAAAGTTGATGACGACCGATATGCGGCTGACACCTGGCACCGCTCGCTGATGAACTGCTACTGCCTCGGCCAGTACCACTGCGTTAGGCCGGCCCTCGATTCAGAACACTGCCGCTGCATACACGCCTTCCGTGCAGAAAAAGTGCGCAAGCCGCCGAAGATCTGGACTGAGATGGGGATGATAGACTTGCCGGATCATCAATCGATCACTGGGTGCAAGCGATGCTTCGCTGAGGGCTCTTTCCCCCAAAAAACTCATGGCGATGGCGATGGAGACGGAGAGGCAGAGAGGGAGCAAGAGGAAGAGGGGGATGGCGGAGAGCCGAAGCTGTCGTCTTCGACTTCCTCAGAAGGAGAGATTGATGGAGAAGGAGACGGAGCGGAGGGGAGGAGGTGAAGATATGACTCGTGGCGTGTGATCGGGCGGGCCGATCGACTGCCAAAGGCTTCCGGGGCGAGACGCACAGTGTCCACGCCGTTGGGGCCGAGCTCGATCACGTGATATCGCCCGAAGAATCGTGGCCCAAGTTTACCTTGGCGAGCACATTTCCTCACCTACACCACGTCCCCCAATTTGTACTAGGGCCACAGACCCGCATTCCCATTTCGGGCCTCGTAGCTCCGGACCTGCCGGCCTTGGGCTAGTTCGGTCATTTTCTGCCGTTTTCGGGCTAGCCTGGGCAGTGACCGTTCCATTAGCTCTAAGTGTCGTTTGCCCTTGTCCCTAGTTGTGGCCCTGGTGGGCCGTCGGTTCAATGTAGACTCGTCTGGGAGGCTTGGTATTGAAACGCAAGCGACGCTATTGGTCCTTAATTGGAAGGGGCTCAGCCCCGTCGATTCGTGGGGCGTTCTGCGATGGACCGCCAGGATGTGATCGACGATATCGGGCCAGGGTCTCGGATCTCGTGCCGCAATGTTTCGTCGCAACGCTGTCTTTATCACCCGGTTAGCATTTTCGACCAGTCCATTGGATTGGGACATATGGGGTGCAGTGTAACGTATGGCAACGCCATGTAGGACCAGGTTCCTAAATACTTCTCCCCTGAATTCAGCTCCGTTGTCGGTCAGGATTTCTTCTGTATCCTAATGCATCCCGAGGAAACGGTTGACATACGGCGCAATTTCTGTGGCTTGCCGCGTGCGACAAGGATACGCTTCGATCCATTTCGAGAAATGGACCAGGTCGACAAATACCAATAGGACTGAATATTCGCAATTATTAGGGTCAGGGGGCACCACTATGTCGGTAGTGTCCATGCTCACTCTTTGAAATGGCCGTTCAACAACTGTGGGCACTATCGATTTTGGCATCTGAATCGACGCCTTATCAGCGGTGCAAACCTGTCAGTTGGTGACAATGTATTTTACATCATCGCGGATATTGGACCAATACCACTCATTTTTGTCGATAGCAGACTCCGTGATTCGTACGGCAAAATGGGCCGCAGTTTCCTCGTGGGCGGTTTTAACCCAGTCGTACCGCATGAACGGATGCGGCACTACCATCCAAATCCCACAGCCGTCCGTTTTTCGTTTTTCTAATCTACCCTCTATCCATCGATAATCCCGAGCCCTTTCGTTGATCCTCCTTCGATCTTCCTTAGTGAAATCCTGGAGGGGGTTACCTACTAGGGTGGCAATCAAGGCAATATCCGTCCATACTTCGGCCCTTCTAAAGTTCTGGGTCTTTTCCAATCCTTTTGACGTGGCATCCAAAAAGCGAGCCTCAGTCGGAATCTTGTTGGTCCGGCACAAAAGGCACAACCACGGTTTACTATTGTTTCTGTATTGGATGCACGAGCCATGGGCTCGTGCGACACACTGTCGACAATCTATCCAATCCGCATATCCCACCCCGTTGGAACGCATGGAGACCGAATAGACGCGGGAGATGGCTTCGCAAAAATAGCAAAATTTGTCGGGCAGGGAGAGGAGAGACGAAGAGGAAGGGGGAGAAAGAAGGGTAGTGGGGTTACCTCCATCACCCATCGCCACCGTTTTGCTTCTTGCCACGTGGGAGAACTGCCACTTGTCCGTATTTCGGCTCGTTGGCCAATTCCGGCTCTTTCCACGGTGTACTTTCCTCGCCCTTGGGTACCTTGGCAGGTCGATGCAGACGTGTCAGCCCGTCCGCGTTGCTGTGTCGCTCTGTCTTTCGATGGACGATATCGAAGTCGTATTCTTGTAGCCGCACCGCCCAACGGCCAATCATGCATGTGTAGTTGGTGAGCTTCTTCAAAGCTAGTCGAGGCTCGTGATCCGTTACGAGGCGAAACTTCTGTCCGTAGAGATACGGATGGAAGTGCTGGATTCCCCAGACCACTGCATAGCATTCGCCTTGAGGTGCGGAGTCGTTCCTTCGTTCGTCCGGCACAGTTCGTGACGCGTACTCGATGACGTGTTCGCGACCATCGTTCCCCTTCTGCGATAAAATAGCGGAAATAGCTTCCGGTTGTCAGTCCGTGATGAGAATGTACTGCTTCGAGGGGTCCGGTCGAATCAGAATAGGGGCCGTTGCCAGCGTGTCTTTGAGGGTTGCAAAGGCCTGCTGGCACTCCGCGTCCCAATTGAGAGGCTGGTCCTTCCGTAACAGATTCGTTAGCGGTCGTGCAATCGCGGTTAAGCCCTTGATAAATCGCCGATAGTACGACGCCAGCCCCAAGAAGGCTCGAACCTGTGTCAGTGATGTGGGAACCGGGGTTTCCTTCACCGCCGCAACTTTTCTTGAGTCCGGCCACAGTCCTCCACGTGTCACGACGTAGCCTAAGAACGAAATTTTCGAGAGGAAAAATTTGCTTTTCTCGAGCGCAATCTTGAACGCAGCATCTCTCAGTGCGCCCAATGTCCATTCAATATGTTGCGAGTGCCCGTGATAAGTCTCCGAATAGACCAGGATGTCGTCCATGTACACGATCACACAGAAGTTGATCATCCCTTGCGTCAGTTGTGTCTTGTTGACGAAGTTCTGGAACATCATGTTCATCGCTCGTTGAAACGTGGCAGGTGCATTGCAAATCCCCATCAGACACCGAACCCACTGCCACGTACCCTCAAACAACACAAAGGCCATTTTCGGTCGATCTTCTTCCCTTACTTGAATATGATGGAAGTCATGCCAAATATCAAACTTGCTTAAATAATTAGCGCACCCAATCGTATCCAACAGATCATCAATCCGGGGGAGGGGATAGACATCTTTGATCGTGATTTCATTCAGCTTGCGATAATCAACGCAAATGCGAATTGCCCCGTTTTTCTTCGGTACTAATACTACGGGAAAGGACCAAGGTCTGGTAGCGGGTTCAATCCAACCGCTGGCTTCGAACTCCCGAATTCGTTCGAGAGCCTTTTTGCGGTCAATCAAGGAATATCGATAAGGTTTGCAATGAATTGAGGAGTGATTTCCTGTCTGAATTTCATGTTGGATTAACATGTTATTCGTTAAAATATGACATTGTATTTTAAATTGGTACTCGCAAGCTTTAAATTTCATGTTAAAATCACCATATTTTAGACTTAAATGGAACTTGGGGCTACGAGTATTGAACCCGATGATTGCAATTGACAGGCCATAAATCGAAACTGAATTGAAGATTCAAGGCAATCACGTATTGAGCATGATGGTTCAAGTATGGATTTCATTGCACTTCCCTAAATTTTGTAACTTAAAAGTTGTTACGGTAATTGACATCCATAAATTGGAACTTTATCGAACTTCAAGACTAACTTTTAGGCAATAACACGGTAAACGAGATGGTTTAAGTATGAATTTCATCACACTTTATAGAAGACTAACTTTATGGAAGACTAACTTGAAGGCAATCACATGGTAAACGAGATGGTTTAAGTATGGATTCCATCGCACTTCAATAATTTATGTAACTTAAAAGGCGTAACTGGTGGACTTGCATAAATTGGAACTCAATCGAAGAGTTAACTTTAAGGCAATCACATGGTTTACCGTCTAATTGCCTTACAGTTAAGTATGGATTCCATCACACTTCGATAATTTATGTTACTTAAAATACATTACCGGCATGTCATTGTCATACATTGGAATTCGCTGACACTGGAAGGTGCACGTAGTAAGACATTGAACGAGAAGGTTTTGAATGACCTCAGAGTCTGCATGAATTTTGACTAATTTTGAGTGGGGCGTATTTGACGTGACATTGTGTCAAGCAAAAATTGGATGTCAATGGAATAGTTGATGCAATCACACGGCAAACGAGATGGCAAACGAGATGGTTTAAGTACTATGGATTCTGTCGCACTTCGACAAATTACCATAAACTGACATGACATTATCATGAACTTAAAATCAAGTGAGTACCATGAATTCCGTCGCACTTCAAGAAATATCGTAACAAGATTGAACTACGAATGTTGTGTCTAAATTAAATGTTACGAGCCGCCGCAATCTAAGATTTTGAAACGGTTTTCGCTATCATACATAAATGTAAAGCATCTACAAGCGTCCCTGAGCATCGACATAATTTCTGTATCTTTTCCAGAACCACGCAATCCACATGCGCAAGGGCGAATGGGATACGAATAATCATGTCTCATTTCTTCTGTCGCACAGCCTACACAATACGTGACATGCACACACGAGCGAAAACGAAATGTCGGTAAAGTAAAAACATCAACACATGATGAAGTTAACTTCATAAATTGCTTAACCACCACCCAACCATCCGAAAAACATAAACCCTGAACTGTGTACAAAATCTGCCAACTCGTCGTACAACAGACTCGTCGCAATTCGCCAAGTCAAAAGAGAATATAGTCCGTTCCTAATTCCCGTCCGAACAATCATTCCCTTCCGCACATGGACTTAGATCTCGAAGTGCATCGAAAGCGTTCAGTCGAACGTTGCAAGGAATGACAAGTCCAGTCGTGAACGGCTTTGTACCTCTACCTGACCTCTCCCAACCAAAAGCGATCGAGTCGGCATGTTGCCATTGTGTCTGGTCAGTCTTCTTCCAGCTTTTTTCCCATGCGTTATCTTCGAGCAACTTTGCTCTCCCGGTTAGCACCCAGTATTCCATGAGCACTTCATTACAATTTGGCAAATCCTTTTTACGAACCACCTGCGATTGTGCTCTTCCTACCCAAATAGGCACGCCTTTCGAAATATCGTCGTCGGAGGGGCGAAGGATAAGAAAAGTGGCGACGTTGATATGCTCGAGGGGGTTGAAACTGGTCTTCGGACGATCTTTTCTACGTCCAACGAACAGGGGTTCCCTGTCGTCGATATTGGCATTACTAGGAGACGATTGTTGATAATTTTCGAGGGAACGCGGGCTTGGCCAAAAACCTTCCTGAGGTTGTGTGGACAACCCGTTCGCGATGATCTCGTCACCCAGTTTGATAACCTCGTCCCAGTAGCACAAAGCTCTTTATCTCCGACTCACCTCATGTTCGTTGAAAGTGCACCATGTTGACCGCCTGCTCTCCAACAACTCGCGGAATTGAATAACACCATGTTTGTCATTCAGATAGTGTTTCCGAGGAACAGGCTTCGCGGGAGGCGGGTCAAATGGCCACGAAGGACCTGCGTAGCTTCCATCGGGGTTCTGATTGAACCAATAAATCAGACCTTCCTCGGGCAACCAGTTGTCGTCATCGCAAAACTCCTTGTACAACATGCCCAGGTTATCTCGAACCATAAAAAAATTAAGCAAGTGTGGTTGGGAAATACCGGTAATGTCTGACGCAACACATGGGTCTACTATACTCATAAAATCTGCCAATGTGTCGAGGAAAATACATTTGGGAGGCTTTTTGTGGGATTGCTCTATGAGCTCAAACAACTCGTCCAAAGTATAAGCGTCTGTGTCTTTCAATTTCTTCGAGAAGACACTGAAAGTAGCATCAACGTCCGTATGGGTATGTCCGACCAGCATGAAACCTATTTCCACCTCTTGGAAAACTTTGAACTTCACCGACAGTGCAGCCAGTGCACATACGTACTTGTTCTTGTTTTCCCGCCAACATATATCTTTTTGAATGCGCAAAAAGGGTGGTAGTGACCCCCCAATCGCTTGAATTTCGACAAGGGTTCGCGTGAGACAAGTAACGACTGTGTTTGAAATACGAAAACCACGTGTACACATAAATACTAGGGTCTCTACCGTGTGCAATAACACCGGTCAGAGTCGTTTTCATCATCGTCTCGTGCCTAAGGTCTTTCGCGTAGTTCGCCTGACCAATATGGGGGATAGTAGTCTTCTTCTGATCCATGCCGTCAATGATGAGACATAAACGCTCGTTGGGACGGACCATCGATTCAATCTTCGCCCGACTATAGTCCAATCTGTGTTCAACTTGCTGCCTTTGGTGAGCTTTCATCTCCTCCCTAGCTCTTTCTCGATCTCGAGGAAGAGCAGCGTGTTGTATACGCTCTTTCAGTTCATGACAAACGGCACACTTCGTGAATGTGTTAGAGTGTATGAGCGAAACGTGGTAATAGTGTTTTTGCCACAGTTTATAAAAGTTGGACTCGGACACGACCTCGAGGCCGACGGTGACAAAGTCTGATTTGATGGACTTATAAATAGATCTCTTCGTAAAAGTTGCTGGCAGTCGAAGCTTCGGTCTGTAAACCCCACCTTTGTGAGCCATCTCATTCGGTATGCTATTCGCATGACACTCAATGAAATTTTTCATGCTGGCAAGCATGGCGACCGTCTTTTCTGTTTGCTGATGTCTACCTCTCAACCCATGCTCACAACGTATGAAGCCATTATTGAAGCGCTTCTTGTAACTATAAAACGTATTACGAGAGACACCAAGAACGTTGCAGTACGCCTTGATATGCATCGAACGTTCCAACTGTACAGGACAGACTCGTTTGTGTCCGCCTTCACTCAATGTGAAATCTTTAAGACTTTTCATCCACCACTCTGCTCGCTCTTCTGGACTCTTACTGTACAGTCCTTGTTTAACCTGTCGGACTTCCTCCGGCGACATGTTGTAACAACAGCGAGCCTTGCAACATGCCATGCCACGAACCATGAACAATTTTCTTTCCTACAATATGTCTTTTGCTCTTTTGTATTGTTATTTCCTCCTAGCGTTTCTATTAGCCATGTTATACGACAGGTTTACCTCCAAGTCCTGGCGCCTCCATGTCTTCATAAAGCTTTCTATGGGAAAGGTGGCATGCCTCCCATACCATAGCGTGGTTGGCGCGTACTTGGTAGTCCTCTTTACCGTAACATTCTCCACGAAGAAAGTTGCGCGCAAGAACTTCGGTCACTGACCAGGCTTGCCCTCTGTCCACTTAGCCAGGAGATTCGTGATGATACTGTGCCCTCTCTCCACAGGAGCGTTCGCTTAAGGGTGTGCGGCCGTAGTATAGTTGGCCACTACGCCATACCCTGCAAGCAACATCCTCACCTCATTGCAGGTAAACTCTGATCCTCGATCCATCACGAACTCCCTGACGAAAGGGTATCACAGGTAATACTCCTCGATGCAGTTCGCCAAAATCGGGCCAGTCTTCGTTCGGATAGCTCGTCCGTCCACAAACCCAGTAAGGTTATCCTGTGCTTCGAAGATGTAGTTACACCCATTATCCCCTGCTGGCATGAATAACAGGTCCATGTGTACGACCGCACCGACTTCCCTTTCTAACCTTGGGTGTAGGGGTTCTCCAGGCCTTTGCGCTGACCTCTCTTGACAAGGTATACAGGACCGGCAGTATTTGATAACCATCCTCAGCATCCCATCCCAATGGTATAGCTCGCTTATCTTTGCGCATGTGGCACTTACCCCTCTGTGCCCCCCTGCTATACCATCGTGTAGGGCCGCTATGATATCAATTTGCCGGTTTCTTCCACATACGATCCTCCTGGGGTTCCCGACCTGCCGCTTTATAAACAAGTGGCCGTCCCTTACCACATAGAGGTGCCTCATCTTTTGTGCCTTGGCACTTGCATCTCCATCTTTCATCTTACATGATAGGAGCAACCCCAATTCCCGGTAGATCCCATCATACTCCTCCGCCCGAAACGCCTCCTTGATTTCTCCTTCCTCGAATTCGTCGTCTCGGCTTTCAGGAACCAGAATCTCATCCTCCTCGTGACTGAACGAGCCCTTCCGGTCGAAGTCTCCCTGCAGGAGCGTATTGGTGAGCAGGTACATCCCTCCCATTAGCTGCTCATGCTCCTCTACCTGAGCGGGGYCTTCCTCTATTRTCCTCACTTYCTCCACCAGACTGTGCRTACCTGCCAACGCCAACTTCATYATCCAACCAACATCCTTAYTTCCCCACGGATCCTCCTCCTGAAAGGGCTTGAGGACTAACTCTTCCTTCTGCTCGTACCCCTTTGGTGCCAGCCATATGGGGTGGCTGACACAACTGGGAACTCGCAGGGACCATTCGTTTATGTGCAGGCGAACGTCCTCCTCTTGATCCAGAAACCCATCAACTGGCTGTGTGTCTTCTATCGATTCCTCGTCCGATCCGTCCCAGTTGATGCGGCTTAACCCATCTGCCCTGTTCTTGTTCTCTGGGATCCTTTCCATCTCGATATTAAACATCCAAATGTAGGTCAACCATCTTGCGACGGTTGAGTCAGATGGAGTATAATTCTTCAGGGAACACGCCAGTGCAATAGGGTCCACCCTCAAGATGAGCCTCCTGCCAAAAACATAGTTCCGGAAGGTCCATAGGCAATGAAGTACCGCCAGCGTCTCCTTTTTGAACTGAGAGCAGTTCCTCTCAGTTGTATTGAGGGTACGACTTTCGAATCTTAGCGGCCTCTCCTTCCCCTCAGTATCTGTCTGAATCAGGACCTCTCCCAAGGCAGTTGGCCCAGCGTCCGTCTCAATGACGAATGGTCTTTCCTCCGTGACCTCATAGTTTGGCGCTCCCAATACCAAGCCTCCTTTCTTAAACTCTCCCTTCATCCTACCGACCGCCTCTTCCTTATCTTCGCCCCAGACCCATTCTTGATCCTGGTGCACCAACTTCCTTAAATGCTCCGTCTTCGTGGCAAAGTCATTCACGAAGCTCCTCCAAAATCCGCACGTCCCAAGGAAGCTCCTCACATCCGTTATTGAGCGAAAGGGCACTGGTCACTTAAGAATCTTATCTGTCTTCTTTACGTCAGGCCTCCGTCCACTCTCATTGCAGATGAACCCTAGAATCGTGGCCTCTCTCATATAATGTTTCGACTTGGGGCCGCTCGCCGTCAGGTTATGTTCCTCCAATAACCTAGAACCCGATCGATGTCTTGGACATGCTTCCAGACAAAGCGCCGCACACCGGGAATCACTTCGTCTTCGTCCTTCTCCTTCGGACTTTTTTGACCGCCAGGTCATCAATATAGGGCTCAGTGATATGTGGACTGACCGTGTGCATGGCCCTGATCATATGCCTTTGCACCATCACCACTGCATTCGTCCAACCTTGAGGCGCCACGTTCATATGAATCAGCCCTCTGGGAGTGTGCATTGCCGTTACAGGCCTATCTGGCGGGTATACAGGGAATTGGTCGTACCCAGAGTAGAGGTCTATGAGCGAGATTATAGGCCTCCCTGTGCACGACTCTGACAGCGCGTCCGCGTTTGGTAACCCCCCCGCATCCCGCACCGTCACGACATTTAACCGCTGCAAGTCCTGCACCCACCTTAGCGTTCCATTTGGTTTGATAAAACAAAACCAAGGTGACGCATACGGTCCACTGGAATAGTTGGCCACGTGCGTCCGCATCTTGCCGTCCAGGTAGTCCACCACCTTCTTCTCCTCATCCGGATTTGGGTATCGCGCGCCCCTTAGATTCCATGGCTCATGTGGGACCGTGTGGATCCTGATCATCGGGATCTTGTCCACATCCAGCCTCCCACGCTCGTCGTCGTTGAATGCATACGCGCGGTGTCTTTTCTTCATCAGCCCCACCATCAACGTTCTCTCCTGGGTGGACAGGAAATCGGGCTCCCCAATTATCAGCTTCCCCTCATTTTCGTCGTTGATACGGCACGGCCCGGCCAACGCGTGCTCCCGCATACGCCGTATGAAACCTCGCTCCCGCTCATAGTAGGCTTCCTCATCCTCTGTGACGAGCACGGGAACTGGGCGGCACTTCTTATCTATGGTCTTGTACCGCCTTTGGGAACCCTGCTTAAGCCCTCCCCTAAAAAAGGCCGACTTGTCGCTCGGGCCTGGGCCATCGCAGGGCCTCCCCTCCCTCCCGGAAGCCGATACACCAACTCCACCTCCCCCACCTGGGGGTTCTCCAAAACCTGTTCCCTCAATGCCTTAATGGCCTCCGGATCCTTCATGTCGTGAGCCGACACCACCTCCATGGCCTTATTCACATCCGTGAGGCTCAATGTCAGCACCTCAGCCCTATCTTTCTCCTCGGGCATTTTCCAAAGCCGTCTCCGCTCGTTCTCTGACTCCCCAAAGGTGAAGGAGTCTAGATTGGACCTATATCTCCCGCTCCCCGGCCCCGTGTTCCGGCATGTGACAACTTCATGATTCCCACACGCCGGGTCGCACAGGATCAGGATCATTGTTCCGTCGTGCTTGTTGAAGATCAACATTTCCGTCCAGCATAGGAACGACCGCCCCAGAAGGATGGGATGATCAACATCGGGCATGACAAAGAAGCAAGTCCTGGCTCGCACCTTCCCAATCTCTATAATCACATTAGACGCTGTGCCGCAAAAAGCGGCCTTGCAATTAGCGCCGTGCAGCATGCTATGGTCCAAGCGGTCGATGTCCATGCCTATCATCACCGCCTCCTTCTCCCTAATGATGTTCATCTCTGCGCCCGTGTCCACCATCCCAGCGCATTTCTGGTTCTTTATCACCAGATCCACCTGCCCACACGCCACACATTTTCAGTCGATCCTTGTCCCTGCCTCGGTCCACTCCACCTCCCGGGGCAGGACCGTACTCAGATGGACATTTGGTACCAGCCTTCGCGAGAGACACCCTTTCAACTTACCACGGAGCCTTGGCGCCGGCGCCAGGATAACCTTTAAGTTCATCAAGTCATTGTGGCCTTCCAGGAGCTTGTCCACCATCCGCTCCACATCAAAGCCTTCTTCCATCCGGACCACGTACTTCTTCCTCTTAGGCACACTGTCAGGCAGGCTTGGCTCGACCTCCTCCCGAGCTCCTCTCTTTTTGGCCCTCAGCTCCACCCGCTGATCCTCCTCTTGTCAGAGCCTCTCATCTTTTTCCTCGTCATCCTCTTCCTCTTCCTCCGCAACCTCCACCACCTCCTTCCTACATCCAGGCTAAGGCTCCTTTCGAGGGGGTGCCTGACTGGGCTCTTGACTAGGCCCAGCCTTATTTTGGCTCCTGGTCCGAGCCGCCTGCGGCACCCTCCCATGCATCGTGGGGGGTCTATAGGCCATACCTGACCTAGGACCCGCCCCTACGATCGCCACTCTTGGGTACCCCTGTTGTCCTGGCGAAGGCTCAGGTCCGGAGTCGTAGAGGAAGACCTCAGGCAGATTGGCCTCCCACTCTCGGGCTTCTTCACACAGGACTTGCAACTTCCGCTGGTATCTCCCCACCTTTTCCAACAGATCTTCCATCCTTCCCAGGAGGAGTATGGTCGGCTCTCCCTTGCCTTCCTGCCCCTCATCGTCCGACTCGACGACTATTGGCTCCTCTCTTATAGTCCCCGCCCACCCCGTCTTCGCGTTCCCCGTGGACACGTGGTCGCCATCGTCTGCGCTTCGTCGTCGTCAAAGAGTTGTGCCATTTCTTCAAGGTACAGCGGTGTTCTGCCTGCCCACATCTGGGCCGTTGACGACAACTGTCGGGGCTGGCATTGGGGCACATTGATGCCGGCGCATGATAGCCGCCTCGGCGCGACGCGTGTCGCATGTGCTGGGAACGGCTATCGATGAAACTGGGGCACACGATGTTTGTGTTTACTATTCTTCTCATTCTTTTTTTTCGTCGCCATCGTCCACATCATTCCTGCTAGGGTTGAGCTTGGCATTGGGACACATGGTTTCTTTCTTTTCTTTTCTTCTCACTCGTTCGTTCGTCGCGATCAACCACATGTTGATCGCCGGGGTTGGCAATGGGGCACATGGTTTCTTTGTTTCCTTCTCAATCGTTCGTTCCTCTCGATCTACCAGACGACTTGTGACTCCTCCACGTTCCTTTTCTTCCGCATCCCCACGATGTTCAGTTCGGCAATCATAGGAATAATCAACAACCCTCTCCAACTTGGCTAACAATTTGAAAAATACTCAATGTTTCGCACCTTTTTTTGTATCATCAACGAGATCCAAGGCTAGGTAGCGCGGCGAACTGAGAGAGCAGGAGAGACAGTTGTCGCGACGGGTGCGGTGGAAGATAAGCGGGTGCCACGTGGGCTACGCGCGACCATGGTCTGTTACAAAAAACGCACTTTGGCCTTCGAGCAGAGGATGCCGATCATCCACGTGCCGCTCACCACGAAAGCACGTGGATGATCAGCGCGCGCTCTACGGTGTCAATGCAGGGGGAGCTGGTGTCATCTCCATCCGAAAGCACGTGGATGATCAGCGCGCGCTCTTGGCGTTGGTCGTGCGCGATGCGCCACCGCATTGCGCACGCCCAACGCCATGTATCTGCGCACACACGACGTGCACATCATCCATCCAAGAGCCGGGGCATGATCAGCGCTCGCTCCTGGCGCTGGTCGTGAGCGATGCCATGGAGCATTGCGTTCGATCAACGCCAGGACTGCGAGCTCCCGAGCAAACAATGAACACGCTGTGTGCGCAAGATGGAGAACGACGCCACCGCTCGCTGAAGTGTTGACGGTGTTTCTTCGTCGTGTGCGCCGCGTGTTTCGTGGCGATGGCCTCGTTGAATAACGAACAACGCCCGTGATAACACACCGCTTGATTGTTGTAGTTCGCCCGTATCCGGACTTCCCTTTCCGCCAGGTATTCCTACCCACCATTGCCGTTTTTTGGTTGGCGGTTATTGGTTTCGCGCTTCCTGTTGCAACGGCGTCCGCCAGCGCCTCGAGGGCAACAACACGAAGTTCGGATCCCGGCGGACTTGCGATTTGGCGCTTGCCACGCCGCGAGCTGCTTAGGTGATTATTTTCGTGTTCCTTCCGACGTGTGCTGTTCTGACCGCATTGCTGAAATCACACGCTTCCTGCCAATGTGCGCTGTTCCGACGGTTTGTAGGGGTCTTATGGGGGTATTGGCTACATTGCATTTTTCTAGGTCCCAACCGACTGGCCTTGGCATGGTGTCGCCGCAAAAATACACAGATATAGTAGCGCCCACAGCAAAAACAAAACAGTGTCTTTTTGTCAAGTTCGGATTCGAGCGGACTTCGACGTTCGCCGTTTATTTTACCGCCCTTACCAACGCCCCGCACTTTCGCCTGTGTTTGGTTGCTGGATACCGTTGGGTGCGCAAAAGTGCCTGCCTGGAGAATTGCCTTATGAGGGTTTAAAGGGGGTTGAGCAACAGCTTGTGTGCAGCCGCTGACCTCCCTCCCAATCTGCGACGTGCAGCGCAGAAACCGGTTCCTCGCCACTCCTACCGACGCCAACTTCGGATCCCGGCGGACTTTTGGTTTCCAGATGAGTCTGACCACACCATTCAACGGGCTGGCCTGTCGCGATGGTTTGCATTGTCAGAGACCTTTCGGTATGCAGAAGCGCTCGAGGGCGACAACACGAAGTTCGGATCCCGGCGGACTTGCGGTTTGGCGCTTGCCACGCCGCGAGCTGCTTAGGTGATTCTTTTCGTGTTCCTTTCGACATGCGCTGTTCTGACCGCATCGCTGAAATCACACGCTTCTTGCCAATGTGCGTTGTTGTGACGGTTTGTAGGGGTCTTATGGGGCTATTGGCTACACTGCATTTTTCAAGGTCCCAACCGACGGGCCTTGGCATGGTGTCGCCGCATAAACACACAGATATAGCAGCGCCCACAGGAAAACCAAAACAGTGTCTTTTTGTCAAGTTCGGATTCGAGCGGACTTCGACATTCGCTATTTATTTTACCGCCCTTACCAACGCCCCGCGCTTTTGCATGTGTCTGATTGCCGGATACCGTTGGGTGCGCAAAAGTGCCAGCCTTGAGAATTGCCTTATGAGGGTTTAAAGGGGGTTGAGCAACAGCTTGTGTGCGGCCGCTGACCTCCCTCCCAATCTGCGACGTGCAGCGCAAAAACCGCTTCCTCGCCACTCCTACCGACGCCAAGTTCGGATCCTGGCGGACTTTTAGTTTCCAGATAAATTAGACCACACTATTCAACGGCCTGGCCTGTCGCGATGGTTTGCATTGTCAGAGACCTTTCGGTATGCAAAAGCGCTCGAGAGCAGAGGCCTTGCGAATTGCCCTTATAGGGGTTTATGTGGGTACGCAAAATTAATCGCCTTGTGAATTGCCCTTATAGGGGTTTATGGGGGTTGTCGTCGTTAGCAGAGGCCGTGTCCGTTCTCTGTCTGCTGTCCACGCCTATGTGTCCGAAATCCGATTCAACGGGGGTTTTGAGTTGAACGGTTCAACTCCCATTCAACTCCCGTTTCAACTCCCCGTTGGACCGAGTTGAACGTGGTACAACTCGGCCCGCGGATTTTTTTATTCCAGGCAAAACATAGGTGAAAAAAAAAAAAACAATATATGGGGGTGTAGATTTTTTTGCTCTCTACATCCCCATATTTTTATGTTTCTTTTTTTAGCATTAAAATTATTTTTAAAAAATCAAAAACAAAACCGGACTCAAAATAGATAGATTCTTTTTCCTTTTTTTTTTTAATTGAATGATTGATTGATTGATTGATTGATTGATTGATTGATTGATTGATTGATTGATTGATTGATTGATTGGTGGGGGATGGGTCACCCCCCCAACCCCCACCCGATCACACACACACACACACACA